CCTCCGCCCCCCGAGACCCCCCCTCCCTGACCGGAGTCAAAACAGGGTCAGGGCCAACCTTTCACAGCCAGGTTACAAGGGGGTAATCAAAGGCAAATACGGCAGCCACACGCAAAACGAACACACGACACCCCCCCCGCCCCCACCGTACACACAAACACAGACCCCCTCCGTCCCACTGGCCAAGCACCCCTCTCCTCAGCCACAAACCTGGCTCTAATTAGCACGATGGGGATGCGAGTGGCCACATGTGCACGAGGAGCAGGCTCGTGTTGGGAGAAGAAGGTGGTGTTGGGGGTGGGGGGGGGGGGGGGGATTCCCCCTATAGGAGAAAAGGAACAGTGCTCCCCCAGTGCAGACAGCGTGTTTGACTGCATCGCTATGTCTGGTTAACCGAGGAATCTTCGGGGGGCTTTGGTTCCCGGCCACACCGCATTGCTCAAGACAAACTGCTCCCAGGCAGAATCCTGGAAGCTCTCCGCATCTTAAAGAGGCTGATTCCAGGACATTTTGAAAGAAAGAATGGCACACGCATTACACTGATACCTAAAATATAATGCAAGATTTCATTCTTTATATTTCAAATTTTACATTGACCTGTCTTGATGATTGACACCGTGAGTGTATCACAATGTATGGCATATAAACTTTATGGTAATCTTAATTATTTTTTCTGAGAAACTGCATTCTGCCTGAACTCTAGCAATAAGTATTTTTTATTTAATTCTTATCGTAATAAATTAGCTTTTCTCTCAAATGAAAATTATTCCCACAATTCTTTGCCATACACGTAATGGACACATCTAATAACAACTAAACATTTTGAGTTCTTCATATACGTCATTCTCATCTATCATCCTCCTCACATTATTTATAAGGATAATGACTGACTGTGCTTGTCTGGCTGTAAAGTCTCCACGGATTTACTGTCCAACTTTAAAATCGTCTCAGCGGCTTTGATTAGGGTCATTACATCCCTGCAAAAATAAACAAAAATAAACATCAGTGAAGAAGCATATTTCGTTTTCTATGATATGGAGAATAATTTGCTTTGGAGAAATAAAAGAAGGTTCCACAAAATTGAGACTAACCTTAGATATAACTATTGATTAGTGAAACTGTGGGAGAACATTTTAAGAACATAGGTATTAGGATATTTTCAGCTAAGATAAGAAAGAGTCCAACTTAAACATAAGTTGTCTTCACGTCCTACTTTTGTAATCACTGCCAAGAGGAGACCTGAAGTCTGCACTGTGATGTAACGCCTGGGCTCATGCTGCCTTTATTTCTTAGAGATTACAAGACTCAAGCTTCAATAATGTATGCTCTGCCCGCTTTGAATTATTTGTTAGATAAACATTCACTCAGAGAATTCTGGTTCTTGTCAAAGCAAAGATAAATTATGGGGATGGAGAAAATGAGAAGGAAGAAGAAATGTGGCTAATAGATAACAATGACTTTTCTTAACTCCGAAGGTCCAGTTTAAAATGTAGTTGGGTCATGGGAATTGAGTGGTTGATACATTTCTCTCAAATTAGACTGACAAATTAACAGAATGACGTAATTTTATTAGCAGTCACGCATTCAAAAAAAACGCCCTTGCACGCTGTTGCATACATGGCTGAATGCAGTTAAGAGGACAGAGCTCAATCAGCGAATATTAATGAGGAGGAATTAGGAGAAAAAAGCAGCCTCGTTCACCTAAACGAGAATATACCGCAAATATATGATAAACGACTTTAAAGCAATCAGTCTGGAGTTTGACAAACCATGCGCAAACTTTTTTTTGCTTTTATAATTCTGACCAAACGCAGCAAACTGAGTCTTCTGCAGCCAGAAAAATAAATCAATGAAAAAAAAAAAAACTGCCAGTCCATTTTTTGTAGTGAAACACATAGGCTTGACGCGGATCCAAATCAATCGGTCACCTGTTGCTGCGTTTTTTTTCTCTCTCTCTTTTTTCGCTCCTGCGCGCTCACGGTGTCCCTCGACGCACGGAACGCGCGCCTGTAACAGCCACCGACAGCGGAGAGATAATATAGCGGGGTCTGCAGGGCTACCACAATGGGAGGAGTATGAAAGTTACCCTGAGCCCTGCCCACCAACAGCCAAACATATAAGACGCTGGAGTGAGGCAAAAGAAGGCACATAAACCCCTAAATCTTGATGACAGGACAAAGTGATGATATAAAAAAATATATTTTTATAATGACTTACTGGCATTTAGATCATTATAACTGAAATCATTTTTGAGCTGGCATGGATGCATAGGACCTTATTTCCTCACGAATAGTCTCGCAGCTGACAGACTTTTATCAAAAGCTATTTTTTCATTCATTCTTGAGGGAAAAAGGTTTGCAGACAGCTTGTCAGAATGGCGCTTGATTCTGAGTTTGGAGTGAAGAGCAGCAGCAGCATCATCAGAGAGTGGAGCGGGCAGGTCCACCCGGCTCTGGTCGCCTCCTTCGTGTTCCTCTTCTGTCTGGAAGCCTGTCTGTGGGTCAGGAATCTCCGGCTAAAGAGGAGGCTGCCCGGACCCTTCGCCTGGCCCGTGGTGGGCAACGCCATGCAGCTGGGCCAGATGCCTCACATCACCTTCGCCAAGCTCGCCAAAAAGTACGGCAACGTGTACCAGATCCGTCTGGGCTGCAGCGACGTGGTGGTCCTGAACGGAGACCGCGCCATCCGCCAGGCTCTGATCCAGCACAGCACCGAGTTCGCAGGCAGACCCAACTTTGTTTCCTTCCAGATGATTTCCGGAGGCAGAAGTCTGACATTTACTAATTACACCAACCAGTGGAAAGCACACAAGAAAATTGCTCAGTCCAGCCTCAGAGCCTTTTCCTCCGCAAACAGTCAGACCAAAAAAACCTTTGAGCAGCACGTGACGGCCGAGGCCACAGAGCTGGTGCAGGTATTTTTGCAACAGAGCGCTCACGGACGGTATTTCTTCCCGGCTCACGAGTTTACGGTGGCCGCCGCTAACATCATGTGTGCTCTCTGCTTTGGGAGGAGGTACGGACACGATGACCTGGAGTTCAAGACCTTGTTGCAAAGAGTGGGCAAGTTCGGGGAGACGGTGGGGGCGGGGAGCCTGGTCGACGTCATGCCCTGGCTTCAGTCCTTCCCTAACCCTGTCCGCAGCATCTACGAAAACTTCAAGAACCTGAATGAGGAGTTTTTCACGTTCGTTAAAGACAAAGTGGTGGAGCACAGAGAGTCCTTCAACCCCGAAGTGACCAGGGACATGAGCGACGCCATCATCAACGTGATCGAGCATGGAGAGGACAGCCAACTGACCAAGGAGTTCGTTGAAGCTACCGTCACCGATCTGATCGGAGCAGGTCAAGACACGATGTCGACGGTCATGCAGTGGATTGTCCTCCTCCTGGTCAAGTACCAGGACATACAAGCCAAACTGCACGGCCTCATAGACAAAGTGGTGGGCAGAGAGAGGCTGCCCTCAGTTGAGGACAGGAGCGACCTGGCTTTCCTGGAAGCCTTCATCTACGAGACCATGCGCTTCACCAGCTTCGTCCCGGTCACCATCCCCCACTCCACCACCTCCGACGTCACCATCGAGAATCTGCACATCCCCAAGGACACCGTGGTCTTCATCAACCAGTGGTCGGTCAATCACGACCCCCTGAAGTGGAAGGAGCCGCACGTGTTCGACCCCACACGCTTCCTGGACGAGAACGGAGCCCTGGACAAAGACAAAACCAACAGCGTGATGATCTTTTCTACAGGTAAAAGGCGCTGCATCGGCTCCCAGATAGCCAAAGTGGAGATGTTTCTGTTCACGGCGGTCCTGCTGCACCAGTGCAGTTTCGAGAGCGACCCCTCTAACCCCGTCACTCTGGACTGCTCCTACGGTCTCACGCTGAAACCCCTCCCGTTCAGCGTCAGCACCAGGCTCAGGGGAAAGCTGCTGGGCTTGGTTTCCCCAGCATGAACAGCTTTCTGCACATAATGTGACTTCAGCGAACACTTTGCCACCAAAGACAGTCAAAAGTGAGTATCTAAAAGCCTGAACTAAACAATTTAGTTGCAAGATCTGCGTAAGTAAAAGGAATATTTAATTCCTAACTTGTTTTGGCCTGTACTAGATTCACTGTTGGAGCAGGGCTGCGAATCTTATTCAAACAATACAAAGAAATGCAAGTTTATGGACTGATGGGATCCATGGACAGTATACAATTTCACAGAGAAGATTATACTTGATCAGAGTTTGACCATATTTCCAGGTTGTGGACTTGTTTTTCATCCACTATTGAGCATGAAGGTATTTGTGCAGAAATAATCTACATTTAAGCTATTATAACTGTATATGAAATGCTTGTGAATGTTACTGAATCACTTGATGGTTTATTGCTGCCATTCATTATATGTAAATATATTCTAACTTCTCTACATATTTCATTTTTCAGGTATTGCAAAAAAATATTTAAGTTTATTCACTATCTACTGTACTCAGAACATAGGAAAACCCTAAATGCTCAAAGCACGGCAAGAACTGGCAGGTTTGGGAAGCTGGGAATTGACAAAAAGTCTTTAATCACAAAGTGATCACCGCTTTGGAAAGGATAAGAGTGAGACCGTGGACCATGAACACTTAACAAACTTCAGTTTTACTGTACAAGCACTGCAGCTGTCCCATACCAAACACGTCTGATCAGTACAACTAAACGCATGTACAGCAAAGGTCTCTCAGTCATGAGGCACTCTGAAAAGCACATTTGTTTACAATAACTTTTTCAAAGCTTCATGGATGCCACGGCACTCTCTTTAAACCTCTGCATTCAGGAATCAATGTTGTATTGCCTAAAGGATGTGTTTGTGTGTTTTTCTGTCTGTGTCAAGGCAGAACAAATAAGAAATTAATCTCAGAAGGCATTGAAAATTAAAGCATTCAAACTGCAATGTCTGCTTTAAGTTTCAAAGCTGAGTTGGTTTTTGTACAATGGAATAAATAAGCTGTATTTGAAATGAATAAAGTCAATTGTGAATGGTCATTGTGTGTATTCTAATTCAGCTTTACTGCAAAAAAACTTCACACTATCCCTTTAAACCTTCTAGGAACAGGGTGCCTCTCTGGCTGTGATGCGGTTTCGAACTCAAGGCGTTTTAACAACTGCTAGGGCCGTCAAATATGAGCCAACACCACGACATTAGGAACTAACATTGTTTAGGCATCTGTCATTACTCACTTTTCCACATGCAGAAGGCTCTGGAATATTTCAGCTGTGGTTGGATGTCACTAAAACTGAAGCTGATGTGTTTTCTTTTTACTTTTTTTTTCTTTTTCTTTTTTTTTTGTTTGCACAAATGCCACCAATAAGAAGCTTACTAAATTCATCCTTTGTTCTAAATAATCAAAACCACTTTGATACAACCACAACCCAGACTTCTACATTATCTCTGAACCCTTTGTTTAACCCTTTAAAGCCTGATCTAAGAGAAAATAGAGACACACTTTTATTTCTTATTTGAAGTTTTTATTTGGCCCTTTAACAAAATATGAAAAAAACATGAATGATTTATGAATATTTATCATTTATTACTGTGTGATAAGACAATATTATTGTTCAGTAGTCCTCTGCTTTCTGTTTTCCGCCATTTCTGATTGTTAACAACTTTTTTTAGCACTTTTTACCATTAAATGATGCAAGAGGCCTCAGATGCAAAAGATTTCAGAATCTGTATGTATTGAATATGATACATAAGGTATTATGGGGTTGAAGTCTATTATAGAAGAAACGTTGTTTAAATATACGTTACAGAGCTCAATAAAATTGTGCAGTTCAGATTTTAAATCCTAGTTGTTTATGTTTATATTACAGAGCTTTTTTTTAGCAGTTAAGATTAATAGCTTGAATTAAATTGAGTAAAACAAAATCATGCTCAAAGGGTCTTGGGAATTCAATGGGAAAACATAAGAAATGGGGGCTGGCAAGGCTGGCTTTCCATTGTGAAAAAAATAAAAACTCTAAATCATTGTCCATTATTAATTTTATATTCAATTCAACAAAAGGTCATTACACAAACATCAGTAATATTACATTTTCTGACAAAAATCATCGGGCCACACATCATATATGAACTTCTTCATTCAGAAGTGTCTTAATTCAAGTAGATACTCCTCTATTCTTTCAATCATCCTCCTCTCCACTGAGCGGGGAGAGAAGGGAACAGAGCCAACGTCTGCACGCTGGGGTCAAAATGGGAGGAGAGAGATAATAAAACAAACAACAAAAAAAAACCTGAGTCGCTGACCCCTCCCACCGTAGAGATACATATAAGCGAAGTGTTAAGTCTTGGATCTGCCTTCTCCTAAAGTGGTCATCTGAAGACGAGCAGCTCGGCCGCAAACTGCTCAGGCCCCACTCACCGGCTTCTCAGGAGGAAAGGTTAGCGAGGTTGGAGGGTTTTGACGTTCTTCTGACAATCTTAGAGCAAAACCGCCATTTGACGCAATCTCAAGAAAACCTAAAAGATTTAAAATGCTGTTGTAATTTCAGTACAGATTGCATTTGATTCTGTGGATGAGAGACACTGCACAACGGCGCCATGGCTCAAATGGAGGCAGAATTTGGAGTGAAGAGCAGCAGCAGCATCATCAGAGAGTGGAGCGGGCAGGTCCACCCGGCTCTGGTCGCCTCCTTCGTGTTCCTCTTCTGTCTGGAAGCCTGTCTGTGGGTCAGGAATCTCCGGCTAAAGAGGAGGCTGCCCGGCCCCTTCGCCTGGCCCGTGGTGGGCAACGCCATGCAGCTGGGCCAGATGCCTCACATCACCTTCGCCAAGCTCGCCAAAAAGTACGGCGACGTGTATCAGATCCGCTTGGGCTGTAGCGATATCGTCGTCCTGAACGGAGACCGCGCCATCCGCCAGGCCCTGATCCAGCACAGCACCGAGTTCGCAGGCAGACCCAACTTTGTTTCCTTTCAATCAGTGTCGGGAGGGAAGAGCCTGACGTTCACAAATTACAGCAAACAGTGGAGGATCCACAGGAAAATTGCCCAAACAACAATAAGAGCATTCTCATCTGCCAACAGCCAGACAAAAAAAGCTTTTGAGCAGCAGATTGTGGCCGAGGCCACGGAACTGGTGGAGACTTTCCTTGAGCTGAGTACTCAGGGCCAATTTTTCAACCCTGCGCATGAGCTGACTGTGGCTGCTGCTAATGTGATTTGTGCCTTGTGTTTTGGAAAGCGCTATGGACATGATGACATTGAGTTTAGAGCCTTGTTGCGGCAGATGGATCAGTTTGGACAGACCGTAGGGGCTGGGAGCTTGGTGGATGTGATGCCTTGGCTTCAATCTTTCCCCAATCCGGTCCGAAGCATTTTCAGGAATTTCAAATGCTTGAACAAAGAGTTCTTTGTCTTTGTCAAGAGCAAAGTGGAGGAGCATAGACAAACCTTTGACCCTAAAGTCACCAGGGATATGAGCGATGCCATTATCGGGGTCTTTAACAACGCAGATACTGGCACGGATCTGTCCGAAGACCACACAGAAGCAACGGTGACGGATCTGATCGGGGCAGGCATGGACACGGTCTCCACTGCTCTCCACTGGATTGTGCTTCTGCTGGCCAAACACCCCGAGATCCAAGCGAAGCTGCACGCCCTCGTCGACGGCGTGGTGGGGCGACACAGGCTGCCGTCCGTCGAGGACCGGACACACATGCCCTACCTGGACGCCTTCATCTACGAGACCATGCGTTTCACCAGCTTCGTTCCGGTCACCATCCCCCACTCCACCACCTCCGACGTCACCGTCACTGGCCTCGACATCCCCAAAGACACCGTGGTCTTCATCAATCAGTGGTCCATCAATCACGACCCCCTGAGGTGGAAGAACCCTCATATCTTCGACCCGTCCCGCTTCATGGACGAAAACGGCTGCCTAGACAAAGATCTCACCAATAGTGTCATGATATTTTCAGCAGGGAAGAGAAGATGTATCGGGGACCAGGTTGCCAAAGTTGAGATATTCTTGTTCTTTGCGATCCTACTCCATCAATGCAGCTTTGAAAAATGCCCAGATCAGGACTTCTCTCTAAACTGTACTTACGGTTTAACACTGAAACCTTTAGATTACAAAATCAGGGCCAAGCTCAGGGGAGAATTAATTAAAAGCCAGTAAAAAAAAGACTATTTGATCATGTGTTCTCCAATAAAGCAAGGTATGTGCAGTTTTACTCAAATACTAATGATTCACATGAGTTCACCTTTAAAAATAAACTGTAAATGGCACCGGCTAACTGACTGCCCTCTTTCCCTCTGAAACGTTTTGATGTGGGTAGTAAACTTAAAGGTAAAATAAGATGTCATGGCACACATTGATGTCCACATTTTGAAGTGTGTAATTGTATGCACATTCAACAATGAACTCACTAATAGACGTGTTTTTTCCCAAGTAGAAAAGAATCAAGTTCCAGCTGTGTGGTTTCATTGAGATGCTCGTTTATCTTTGTGTGTTAGAGATTCATCCAAATGCAAGTAATGGGCCTTCATGCACTCTTAAATCAGACAGAAAAGTCGTACACTCTGATTTTCACTCGTGCCCCGTATAAAAGACAGTGATTTATAGCTTGTTATCTTATATTCCTCTGCTGGTACAAATAACTATTCACTGTAAAAACAAAAACTCCTTTAGATGTTTCACATTGTGTGAATAATAAGTTGTGCTAAACCATTTTTTGTAATGATTTTACAACGAATGTAATCCAGTGTGATACGACAAGTGCTCTAAATTGTGACTAATGCCTCGTTCTACAATAAACATTTTGTACTGACTTATATCAGATTCTGTGCAGTGTATCAGAAGCAGTGTTGAGCATTACAAGAACCAGAGAAGCCAATGAGATAATAATAGATGTTCACGTCTGGTTTCTGTGTTTCTTTGTGTGAAAGATTAATGTGGGTTACATGCCCTACATGCTCTTGTTTGGGAAACTTAACATGCAGGCTGTGAATATTTAACATGGAGCAATTTCGGCTTTTGATTGGTGTGTTATTCTTCTCTAAATATTTTGGTGTCAGGGAGCAGGCAAAATTTGAGTAAAGTCCAAAAAAACTGAACACTTTTCTTTTCTTTTTTTTTGCAGCAGAACCCTATAGTTCGTGTATTATTTTATTCTGGGTCTGTCAAGTTGCTGCTAAACAGAGTTAGGGTTAGGTTTTGTATTATTTGCTTGGAGTAAGAAAAACATTTCGTAGTCTCTGCACTGCCTGTGAAATGCGTTATACACCTCTTAAAAGTTCACTTTAGTAAAAAATTCAAAGACACATGGACAGTTTCCCTGTTAATGTTCCAGATACTCCACTCTAGGCAAAAGTGGGGAAAATGTATCACAAAAAACAAACAAGCAAACTTGTGCTGAAACTATGGTTAGCTGTGACAAATGTCCATTCAAATTATTTGTGTTTGGAGTCATCATTTGCAACACTAATCAGCGTTTAAGTCTGACCAAAAACAACTTGTTAGTGTGAGTGAAAGCATTTGCAATCTGTCTTCTAACAGATAGATTAACATGTTGTCGGGAGTGTGAATTATATTTGCATGCACAGCTCAGCATAATTTCACATGTATCAGAGTTAGGAGAGGTAATTACGTTCTCCTTTGTTTTTGTCACAAGTGTTTCGTCGGTGGGATTTTAAAGGACGGTCCCCGCATGCTAGTTTTCCCTTGATTTAACACGGCGTAGTCTGAAGACATTCTGTACTTTTACAGGGTAAAGGACTCCAGAGGAAAGAAGCGGGTTGTCTGACTAACCCCCGTTTCCATCACTGCTTCCCAAAACATGCATGAAATGTGTCCAGCTGAAAGACTCCCTTTCACCCGGGCTCACCCACTCCGCGCTGCACGTACCCCGCAGCCCTCGCCCTGTCAGGTTTCGCTCCCCAAAGAAAAACAAAAAAGTGTTCTGGCCGGCAGTTTTTCAGCTCTGAGGTTGCTCACATTCTGCACGTACGCAGAGCCACGGGGCGACCTCCCACAAGCCTCCCTCAAGCATCCGACATCCCCCTTTCCAAAACCACCTCTCCTTCGCTTGCAGTCACGCTTTGGTAGATGACACACAGTAAGGTAGGATTACTCCGGAGCCCTTTGGAAAACATCTCATGTCTTGTCCAGAGTCATCAATCGCTGAAACATGGCGGAACGGTTTATCAGAGCATTGGCAAGAAAAGGCCTCGTGTTCATAATCAGGCCAGTCTCTCCCAGAACATTTGAAACCAGCAAAGCTAAACTCCAAAATGTTACAAACACTATTCAAACTTATCCAAAGTATCAGATGAATGGGGAGATAATTCTTAATTGAAGTAGCCCAGAAAAGAAATCCTACCAACTCAGACAGGCTCATCCAATTTCAACTCTCTTTCTCTATTTGCCACAAATAAAATCTCCTGCATCTCTAAAAGGTCATCTCGACCAAAATTGAGCTGTAAGGAACTAAGTTTTGACACAGAATCAAGGTTGTTAGCTCAGAAAATGCTCCCAGTCTTTTGGTCATAGACATAGACAGTCAGGAAATGATGTTCAATTCGAAATTAGAATCAAGTCATGCCACCTTCAGGTTAAACATTCTGCCATGAGCCGTGTTTTCCAAACACATCACCGACATGCTCTAACAGTTAGTGACCCTTCTCCTGTTATGTAATCTCATGCAACAAACATAAAGATGTGGGAAGTGACCCATTTCAGTAAACAGTTACCGGACTCATTATAACCGGGTGGGACAGCTGTTCTCACTGGGATTGTGTTTTGGAACGCTGGCATGGAGAAGACCTTTAGACATAAAAAACATAAAGTGCTGTTGCATTTGACAAACTTCTTTCCATTTGAAAAGTGAGCGTTTTCAAAGAGATGCCAGAGGAAGTGATGTGAGTTTGTGCGTATGAGCACACGGTTGCTTTTCCTTAATGGATGGGAGTTTGCATCCCGGCCTGAAAGGGTCACTCGTTTTGACTGAGTGGTCAGTTTTGTTTGTTATGTAAACCGAGAAACCCTGTCAGCTACAATTCATGTTAAATGCCCAAACTGCCAGTGAAGCAGGCACTGTGACGTGATGTCGGACTGAAATGAGAGGGTGTGGAGGAGTGCAGCCTTCTGTCTCCAAAACTACATTTATATTCAATATTTGGTCAACTTTGTAAAGCTAACAAATTGCATAATCACCATTGACATTCTTCAGTGTCTAAACAGCTGTTATTCCTTACTTTCCATTAAAGAAAAACAGGATTTGGCAAGATTTCACTCAAACAAACACAAAAACACGCTCTGTATTAGCCAAACCGCAAATGCAAACATTATCTCCCACAAATAGCTCAGAATCTCATTTATCTACTCGCACATCAGTTCTTTTAGACCTTCATATTATTAGTTGGTACTTCCCTGCTGGTGCGAATCTCGGACATTTGCATTGTCCGAGATTTGCGACGTCTGCTAAAATTATAACGACCCACTGGCACCTCTGTTGTGTAACTCAGACTAAAACCTTTTTCAAAAGGGCACATGGAAGCGTCTCGGAGAAGCACGCGTATCTGGTTTGTTTTAAAAAGGAGAATATAAATCAGATTATTACTCTGTGTATTTGCTCAAGTAACACGAGAACTATGGAAATGTCCGATGTAGTGATATCCCATGCATGAGTGGGAGACGGGCTTGAGGATAAATAGAAGAAGTTTGGATAAGTGCTACTTGAAACTAGTTTAAACATTAATGACTTTGACAAATTAAAGTTTTCATACTCAACAGATGAGATTTGAACGAAATTGTGAATCAAATATAAACATATACTCCTGCTTTCCGGGCATTTTCCCACACCCAGGAAAGTGTACTCCCCAGATTTAAAGGTCTTGATATTACATGGACGCTTCAAAAAATATCAGGAACGTTCACTCTATCAGTAAGTGGCGGTTGTGTTTTTTACTTATCTGTGCAATTGAATGTGGGATGCTACCATTAGACTGTCATACAGTGAGGTTGACAGACTAAATATGAAACTGGTATTTCTACTCACCAGCTGTCAGAGTCAAATATTCTAAAATATGTGTATAGAACGCACAGATGTGTTTTATCTCAATTTTTCCAACAAATACATTTTTATGGCTGTGAAATGTGCTTTTGGAGACACATTAAAAAACACAGATTGCAATGTTACTGTGACAGTTATATCATAGCAGGTGCTATCCACTGAAACAGGAAAACATTTCATCACAGAAGATATGATACATATCAGCCAAATGTGCTTTATATGCTTTATAGCTCACTATCATCTCAGACTAAGTGGACAATATGTCAGTTTGCAAACTTACATTTCAACCTTCTTTTTTTAAAATAAGTTACAACTTACTATTTCAATTTAAGACCAATAACCGTTCTATATCCTCGTCCAACATCAGGGAGAAGCAGAGCTCGCATAAATCGACTCATTCCCTCAAACTGTTTTACTTTTGCTAAATCAAAAACCCTCCGGATGCAGAAATACAGTCTGATGTGTTACATCAGTTTCAGTGACTATCAAAAGCAAAATCTTGGTGTAAACAGCTACATGTTAGGTAGGTGTTCTAAACCACTCTGTGACACCTGAATCTTTTATGCATTTGTTTAATACTCCAGCATTAAAAAGTCCATCAGCTCAGCCAGTTACTATCAGAGCGTGAAGGTGATTATGAAATATTGTGTGGTTGCTTTGGCTGGATAAAGAAATGAGATGTTCAGAGACTAAAGCTCCTGCCCCTGGATCTCTGCTTATCTAACTCCCCATGTCCTAATTTCCTGTCTTTGATAAAAGGGACTTTTTCTAAAAAAGTTTTTTTTTTTTAAAGGTTAGTGTCAAGCTGTCAAGCTGAAGGGTGAGAGACTGAGTCTGTGGTCTGAAACAGTGGCCTTGGCCGTATGCAGTCTGGACAGTTTTTTCAATCCATAACAAACACGTAATCATTGTCAAGGATGAAAGAGTAACAAGTAAAGAGAAACTACACAAGTCGGACAGGATTGTCTTTGTGAAACGGCCATTACTCATTTTGAGCATTGCAGGCGAGGAAAGAGTAATGATCCCCCATCTGTCATAATCAAAGAATTGCATCAAACATTCCAGCATTTGAAATAATATTGTAACCATCTGACAAAAAAAAATG